AAAGATTTTCTGCTGTCCCAGGCCATTGGGTAGGAATGAAGGTGAGGACAACTTCAACTAGCTACAGAGAAACAATTTTCATCCCTAAGAAACATATAGGCATGTGTCCGACACCAGAAGGTGCCCTCTGCAGCTTCAAATGTGCAAGACATTTCTGATAAAGGAAACACATTGCGCAAATCTTAGCTCTCAGCTAAAGGGGGAAGAAAAAAAAAAAAAAAAAAGCTTTGATTGGTGAAAAAGGTCATAACAGAGAAATATTTCCTCTCATAAGTGGGTGTCCAATTCCACAGGAGGTAAAAACACCAGCGTACTATTGGCCCAAATAGCAGCAGACCTGAACATGCTAATTCCCATGACTCTAGAGTATGCCCCGAAACGTTACTCAAGAACACACAGCCATTGACTTCTGTTTGGATAGAATCTTTTTTTCCACGCTAATGAAATTTGCTTGAAAAAGCAAATAAGCTTTCAAAGAGCCTTCGTAATTGCAGGCAGAGTTTGAAGGGACATTAATAAACTGACAGATAAATTGTTAAGCAATTAATACTTCAAGGCACATTCCTCCTCTTTTAACAATCAAAGATTTCTCTGTATTTTCCTCAAGCTCTGCCCAGCATTTCACTTTTCCTCAAGAATTAGTCTGCACAAGCAAGCTGTCAGAACCTGAAGACAAGCATTAAAACAGAGCTTTGAAGCAAAGGGTCCTTGTAAACCTAACTGCAAGAGGCTAAGACTGAAAATATTTATAAGTTGGAGAGTTCCCTATTCTTTAGCCTTCATTGAGCAATGTGCTGGAAACATGCAAGTTGTTTAGGAAATTTTTATACTATTTATAACTTCCAAGTCATACAATTTACAAAATAATCCTCTTCTGAAATTAAAAAAAAAAAACTCCCTAAATACAAAGCAAAACTCTGCACATCTACAAACAAAACAGAAGAAATTGACTCCTATGTACAAAACTCGCAGTAAAAATACCTTCCCCATAGGTTCTAGATTCCAGAGCAAGAGGTTTTTTGTGCACTATTTTCTCACAGCAAGTATGCAGGAAAGGTAAAAATAGTCCTCTGACAGGAAAACAAACTAACAAACAAAAAAATGCATCTTAAAGCACCACAACTTCCCAAACTCTCACTTTTGATTTCCTACCCAGTTCGGCTTATCCAACCTTATTAGTCAATAAGTGCACAGGAAAGATAGGGTAAACCACCAAACCAACTTCTAAACTAGATGAATATTTCAATGATGGTGTCTTCTTTTCTAACTGTGCACACACAGGAAATGATTCCACCTGCAAGAATGAGGTTTTTAAGGCTATTTGGTGAATTCAGTGCTGTGGCCTCCGGGGGTCTCCTCTTAGCCATTTCTTTGTGCATTAGCTCTGTATGTCTGAGGGAAGAAACACGCACACCAGAGCTGATGAAATACAGATACCAAAAGGATGCAAGTTTGGACAGGGCAGGTAGAAGATGGATGCAAGTTTTGAGGGACTTGTGCACTCTGGAGGCAGAAAAAGGTCTTTTTTTTTTTTTTAAAAGGAGACTTGGATCTTAGTTTGCTTCAGTCTTCACCAGACTTCATCACTAGGCAGGCACTGGTCTTTGCTCTAGATAATGTTCCTGTTGCCCCAGACAACTAATGGCAAAACTTTTTTGTTTAAGCAACCGGCAATTCTCCTGTGATTTCCTTACATGAATGCCAATGACTCACTGGCTTTAAATTTCAGAAGTTGTAATTAGTAGGACTCTTTCATTAATAAACTTGCTGTCCATATCCACAAACATATCCACAAAAGAGTAATGAATCTGATTGATTGAAGTCAACAAATTGTTATTCATAACATTCCTAATACATACACAAAACCCCGTAACTTCCATAGGCAGAAGGTTTCTAGAAAAACATAGCAGTTTGGGTAGGAGTAAGAATAAACCCCTGCTTTAAAAATAAAACACACACACACACACACAACAGTACGATCTACAAATTATCCTAAGCTTACCAGCTAAATATTGGTGCTTTCATCAATCTATATTTGATTTACATATGAAATTCTGAAAGTATTGTTCCTTTCCACTGTGAAAGGAGTTATATAAGGAATAACAACAACAACAGAAAAAAATTACCTCATGATAAATTAGCAGAAAGCGAACTCAAAAAGCTCTAATATAAAAAAACTTTAGGATTGGCAGCTGACCCAAATAAAGTACATATCCAGCTATTAAGTGCTTAAGTACTTCACTGAATGAGAGCCAGAGCATTCATTCCTTTCCTGAATTATGCTGAAAGATATGGATGATGCTGTAGGACTAAGACATGGCTGCTTCCAGTAAGCAAATTATTAATGTTCATATGGATGCTATAGCTTTAAACCCAGTAAATACGAGGAGAAACTGGGGGGACAAAGGCACAGACCAGAAAGAAAAGAGCTAGGTAGACCTTGAGGTAAAACGATGTCACAACAGTGTTTTGTATCACAACATGAACACAATACATCTTATCCTCAAGAAATCATAGTTATTTACTTAAAAAATAAATTATTTCTAACAAATTTATTTTTTTGGATGTTGTACAAAACACAAGTCATCATAATAGAAGGCATTCTACATCCTTAATATCTATTGTAATATCTTTTGTTTTTCCCAGTCCCTTTCTGCCTCATTCCTTGTGTACTCCTCAGAGGACAGTAGTGACACATATTGCCTGCTCACAGTAGCCGATTCCTTAATTGTCTGAGGAAGGAGTCAGAACTAAGCCTTTCCCAGGGATTTTGTTGTACACAGTATATTTGTCCTTTCATAAAACCAGAAGCACGCACCATGGCTAAGAGATCAGATGCTGCATTCCTCCTGCCACTACCAGCAATTTAACATTTATCTATGGATAAGGTTTCCAGTGATTCTTCTTTATCAGACTGAATATTTTGAAAATTGCCAAATTTTCAATTGTGAATTCTCCGATTGAGGGAATACTCTTATTATACCTCTAGTGCTTCTTCTGGAGCATTACTAAAATCCTTAAGTTTTAATGTGCGAGGCTGTAGAGGATGGAAGAATTCTCTGCTGCCTTCTTTCAAATAAGATTTCAGTTCTAGAAACTGTTAGTATTATGGAAAATGACATAATTAAGAAAGTAACAATAGAGGAAAATATTGGATGAATAAACACTTTCTCATTATCATATTTGCTATCTAAATATACTAACATCTTGGCTGTAAGACTCCAGCACAAAACAACAGCAACAGCAGATCACCGCAGCATTAAATACTTAAATATATTAAGAAAGGAATAAAAAGGGTGATTACAACAACATCAAACAGTGAAAAGATTCTAACAAAAAGAGATTTAAAGTAATCAGAAATGAGTGATGACTGAAATACAGAAATAGACCAGTGCTTAATATTCCTGTTTTATAAAAAGTAAAGGTAGCAACACAGGAATGCTCAATCATTCACAGGCCTGTAAAGAGACAGAATTTAGACAAAATCATGTTTTACAAAGTCAGATATTTATAAAGAATAAAGAAATGCCCAAATTAGCTGGAGAAGAATACTTGACAAGCTCTATTGATAATGTCACTAGATTGGTAGTTTGCATTCATTTCCATAATCTTGCTGGAATGTAGGTACTAACACAAGAAGTGTAGGCCTTCCTCTTTTAAATGATACTGTAACAAAACCCAAGACATTGCCTTGCTGTATTCCTAACATTGTTGCTATTTTCTTTTTGTTGAAGCCTACAGAGAAACTGGAGAATGAAAAAAGATAGAACACGTACCTGCTAGTTCTGATCATAAATTAAGATTTATATAATTTACAGCACAAGTGCCAATTCTTCAAAAGCTTTTAATTATTTTACTGGTGGGCGAGATGAGAAAGTTGGTAATGAAACTGTGTGGCATGTCAGAAATGCAGATATGCAGAAGATTTTCTTGGTTTGGAATGTGCCCTTTGGTGCCAAGAATCCATAAGGTCTGAAAATCAACTTTAAGCTAGATGCAAATAATTGATGTGATAACACAGTCACTCTGACCCATGCACAGAGCTCACCTGCATCTGATACACCCCAGGTAGACATTTCTTGGATTTACGCATTTAATATTTTTAAACTCCTGGGTAATCTTATTACCTTCAATAAAGCAACTTATATTTACAAATGCAAGAGCTTGCACAGATACTGCTTCAGAATTAAAAAAAAAAAAAAAAACACCCTTTCTTTTAAGTTTTAAAGCTTTAAAAGAAAACTTTAAGAGCAGCAATATTGTTAGACTTTGAATACAAGAGTTCTTGCACAAATTTTAGACTACAATTGATTTTAAAACTGTTACTCAGACAGGACATTTTTTCCTACTTTGCTTTCTACCTAGCATGAGGCATTTCTCTTATCCCAACTCACAAGCTTTCTGTCTGCCCCTCTGTCAGCCTATTGAATTTCAAAGTACCATTCCGACTTTGAAATTGTATCACAATTCTTAATCCAACTTCTCATTTGCCTGCTAATCTTAACCTTATTTCTGTTGCTCTGGTTTCACATATCAGTTTATTATTCTTTTATCCTACATGACAGTAGGATCTATTCATCTACATTAGAATTCATATTAAGGCTATAGTTAGCATGTGGTCTAGCCAATTGAAGAAACTAAGTTGAAAACTTAATAGTCTGTACTAAATTACATTTGAGTTTTCCTGCCTGTTTTACAAACAAATCGCATTCCAGTTGCTCTGTGCACTCAGAAAAACAACAATGGTGGAAAAAGTGGAAAACAGACACAAAAATGAAAAATCAGCATAAGCACAGCCTGTCTTCTACAATAACAGGTTAAGAAACATTAGAGAAATTTATTTTCTGCTTGACACTTTCTCTTTAGATGAGGCGTAAAACACCCTATATACAGATGTATACGTGAGTATACATTCTTGCACAGATACACACATATGTGCGTATCTGTCAATCCCCTAATGTTTAGCGTGCATCTTGCATAAAAATTGCTTTCATGCTTACCATTTTTTTCAGCCCTCTCTCTACTATGGGAGTAGCCAGGAACTGCAGAAGAAGTTGCAGCATCTCCTGCAGCTGATCTGGGCGTCTGACTACTCTCACTGGGGTCCACAGCAGCAGCATTCAGTTGGGATCTTCCAAGATGCAGCTGTGAGTGAGAGGGACTTGAGGGTGGATCAGGATTGGAATTCATTTTAGCTGCAAAGGAAGAAAAGAATAACTATTAATGATTCCTTTATAAGACCAGAGTAAAAAATTTAATGCCTGAATGTGTGTGTGTGTGTGTGTAGATATATATGTGTATATCTAATCAGCTGAACAAAAAGTCCAGAAAAGGATAAGAATGCTGGCAGCTTCTTCAAAATGCGTTTATAGATTCCTGTAGAATTCCAAGCATGAACAGCTATCACAAAACAAGACTTATCATATGTAGAATTATTTAAGAATAGTGCCTTTTCTCACAGCTAAGCCAAGCTTTTCAAGCAGAAAGAAACCCTAAATCTCATGGATGAAACCTGTGGATAGTGCATAGTTCCTTTGAATCTAACTTTCTGCTTACCTGCAGAAGAGCAAAAGATGAGCACTTATTTTTTTTAACAGAACAGCATCGACACGTCAATATTGACAGCAAGACTAACTCAGCATCAAGGGCCTGCTTTACAGCCACCACCTCACTTAAATGATGGGGAAAAAATGCACACAAGGAGGATGAGAAGGCAAAGGAGACGATGGGTTAATTCCATCACTGGAAACGAGTGAAAGAAAGATGGGACCCTGTGGGGGCAGCACCAGGTCTGCTATTGTGTAGACATTTGCAATAGAAAGACAGCACACACCTAAAACAAGTTCTGTGACTTTATTCGGCATTCAAATATTGTCTGATTTAATGGAATACAATTTGCACAAAACCCACTAAGTGAGCGAGGGAGGGAAAGCTCAGGAGCTCTCCCTTTCAGAGGCAAAGTTCTAAAAGTTTCCTTACTGATTTAAGGAAAAAGTACAGATTGAAAGTTCCGCTTTCACACGCCAGGAAGCGCACACAAGGCAGGGAGGCAGGTACATCACACATGACACAGACCAACTCCAGCTGCTTAGCAGCAATTACCTTGAATTTACGCAGTTCCCCAGGAACACGATAGAAGACACCTGCCTAAAGACTTTGCTTTTTAATTCTGTACGTTCAGAACAGCACCCTAGAGATGTTCTCATTAAAAAAAAAAAAAAATCAAAGTTAGACAAGAGTAAAACAGCCAAATACCCAATTCAGCTGAAACTTGAAGTGTGCTAAAAGAGAGTGCACTACAAATGATGACAGGGTGCTAAAAGCACCACGAGTGACACACAGACTTTGCAATCCACACAGGTCACTTGCTTGACTACAAAACAAAACAGAAGAAAAAAAGAACACAGATAACTGCTGGGAGAAGCAAACGCATTTCTGCATTGACATCCTATAAGAAGTTATAAATAAATTCACAGAGCTCAAATATGCAGCCTTGCAACAGGCCTAGGAAAAATGCAGCGATTAAAATACTTTCCCAGTAAAGCAGCAGGGTATTTTTAACCATTAGGCATCACAAAGCAAAACAAAAAAAGTTGCTTTCCGGTGCTTTGAGACTTGACCTTGGTGCTCCCAGGGACGGGACGGGACCGCGGGGCTCCGGGACGGCGCTAAATCCTCCGGGTCATTTTGTCCGTGGTTTAACAGAAGAGAGAGGAGGGAAAAAAAAAGAAAAAAAAAGAAAGAAAAAAAAAAAAGAAGAAGAAACG